ATGGCCTTGCGTGGGGGGTGGCTGGGGCTGGGCCAGCCAGCTCGACCCCCACCCCCAACCTCTGTGGCCGCAAGTGACCCTCCCTGCTGCCCTTCCTGTTGACGGGTTCTGTTTCCATGTACTTACTAATCCTGGTGCACCTTTAAGCACCCTTTGGGGTAGTCATGTCCCCATTTTGTACAAGCAGGGTGGGTTCAGAGAGGTTAGGTCCCTTGCCCAAGGGCGCACAGCTGGTCTGTGTGAGATCGGAGCTCAGGACTCTGACCCGCGTGGGTCCTTCAAGGCACTTGTTACTGCCGCTTTCGCCTGTCATCATGTTCTCGAGGGACCCCACAGACGCCGGAGTCCTGCTCATTTGGGAAATGACTAGCCGGGATGAGGGGTTCAGAGAGAGGTCTCCTGCCTCTCCCAGCCTCCCTCCCACCAGGGCCTTCTCCTGGGCTGGGGCGATCTTGCTGCTGGGGTCACGGCAGACCTGTCCAGGCTGGTGACTGGGGGTCTGGGGAAAGAGTGGGCAGAAGACTCTGGGGAGGCGGGCGGCAGCGAGGAGAGGGTGCTGGTGTTGGTGGGCAGAGCCGCGCCCGCAGCCCCGCGTTCCCGCCCGAATCGATTCGGTTTCTTGTGGTGACTCCATGCGTCAGGAGAGGTAATTAGAACAGGACTTTTCAGCTATTTATGAACATACATTTCCTTTTCTAAAACAGGGGAAGTTGTGGAGTGACTAAGAGCTGGGTGGAGGTGGCTGAGCTGAGGTGGGATGGGCTTGGGAAGAGGCCCTGCGGAGAAAGGCGCATGTGCAGAGCACTCTTGGAGCCCTTGCAGAACAGCCTCGGCCTTGGGCTAGAGTGGGCGGAGGGAGGGAGGCAGGCCCACGGCACTGACCGTGGAGGCCGGGTGGGAGTGGGCAGCGGAGGCTGGGTGAGGGAGAAAGAAGATGGCTGAGGGGCTGCTGCTTCATTGGAGGGGCCACGAAGTACTCATCTCACCTCTGGGCTTCTCTGGAAAGTGGGGGTTGGTTCAGGGGTTCTGAAGAGGGGTCTGTGCATGTGAAGCCGCCTGTCTGCCTCTCACAGACCCTTCAGGCTGCTGCTGACTCCCAGGAGGGAAGCCCTCTGTGCCCATGGTGTGGGCTTAGGCAGTGCTGGGCGCCTGCCTCACCAGGCGTGGCCATGGCCAGGGGCTGTCCCCTTTGTGCAGGAGATGCCTGCCCCGCCTGCCTGCTTTCCTGGTCGTCATTCACGAGCAGGTGCAGTCATAGTGGAAGAACCAGGTAGACAGCAGTGAGGACGTCAGTGACGACCGTAGCTGCCGTTCATTCATGGCCCGTGTGTGCAGGTTCTGTGTGCCTGGATTTCTGTGCCATGCTGCATTTGAACTTCACAGTGAGCCTGAGGTGCTCTCTGCCCTCTGCTTTATGGTTGAGTGTCCTGAGACTCAGAGAGGCTCATTATTTTTCCCAAGGTCACACAGCTAGTTAGTGTCCTGGTAGGATGTGGGCTGTGTTGGGTGTGTGTGTTGGGTATGACTTGGGAGCTGGCCTGGGGATGCACACCTCAAGTGACCGCTGCTTGGGGGCCACAGGGCTGGTCTCTGCCCCCTGCGGTGCCTCCATCCATATCCCCCCCCCGCCCGCAGCACCTCCGACAGGGCCGGCCTCCTGCAGTCTCCCGCTCCTGCGGGTGCTCTCGCCACGGGCAGCCCTGGTCTCTGTCTCGGCTTCCTGGCCTCGCTGCTCTGTTCTCCCCTGCCCTTCCCAATCCCAGGCCCAAAGCTGTGCCCTGGGTTTCTTCCTCCAAGGGCACTGGGCCCTGTTCTGCCCACTGTCTTAGCCCCTGCTGCCCAGGTGCCCTGCCCCCTGCTGTGGCGTTCTCAGCATCTGTGGGGATCTGTTCTCCCGTGGGAGTCGTCGGTGTGCTTGGGGCCTGTACTCAAAAGCTCCGTGGTAATTAGCGCACTGGAGCACCCGCTGATGAGGGGATGAGCGTCATTATCTCTGTCGCTCTTTTGCAAGGGTCCTCTGGGCGCCTACTCACGCGGTTCCCTCTGATTGGAGTGCCCTTCCCCACCGCTGCCTCCCAGGGCGCCCAGATCCTTCCTGCAGCCTCCCTGAGTGAGCAGCCCCTCTGCCCGATAATTGCAGGCCGGGGCGGAGCCGCCCTCTACTGACACTTCTCCCGGCCCCCGTCGGCCGGTGTATCCAGGGTGCCGACGCCCATCCTCAGCTGACTTCTGCCAGGTGATGCCGACTGCTCGCGTTCTCTTCACGTGGCCGTTCGTTGCATGACGAGCACATTCTATTCCTTAGAACCAGGACATCTCTGTACCCAAGGAGGAGCAGCCTGTGGACAGTGTAACTCTACTGGGTGCTGCTTGAATGAGTCTGGGAGGCCCTGTCAGCACCGCCAGCCTCCTGTTTGTTCAGCAGTTAATCACCGCATTTGTGGAGGTGGAAATGAAGCGGACTTGCCCATAAGTGGAGCCAGCTGTTAAAAAGCCATAGCAAGTCACCCACACCGTGCCTGCTCGTTCACTCCCAGTGACAAAACAGTTTCTTGGAAGGGTCCAAACAACAAACTTTCTAATACTTTTCTTCTGTGCCAGCCAGTGCTAGGCTGGAGTTGGGCTGGAGAGAGCCGTCACGAAGGGAAGCTCTCAGAGATTTACCGATCAATAAAGGAGGCGATTACAGCTTGTTTACCGAGGGAAGTCCCCCGTCCTGGCCTTGCACGGCATCCGCACATTGGTGCTGACAACTCCGGTAACTGGCTTGAAACGATAAAAGTCAATGGGAAGATATAGGATTTCAATAAGGTTATGACACGTGATAAACCTCCCTGTGCAAACAAATTTTCCACAGATATGTGACCCGTTCCAGTTGGATTTGTAACTTTAATTTCTCACTTATTGAATTTTGAATTTTTTGTCATCAACTAACTATGAAGTCCACACCAGGGTGGCACCTGTGTCCCCGGCTCAGGAGGTGGCAGGAGAGCCCCAGATATGGCGGCCTGAGCTCCAGGGGCTTCTGAGAGAGCAGGCCGGGGTTTCCTCAGTCCCCGCAGCCTCGCCCTCCTCACCTCTGGGGGATGGACAGAGGCCTGGCAGGGGCTCAGGCAGTCATCAGTGCTGGGGAGCACTGGGTCGGTCTCTCCTGAGAGCAGGGCGGGGCCTGGGCAGGGGCTCAGCTTGTGTATGTGCAGACTCAGGAGGCGGCGCGGAAAGGACCCTGGTAGTTTTGTGGACTCCGTTTCTGGGTGGGGGTCTTGCTCCCCAGGCTGCCTGATGGAGCCAGTCTCTGTCAGGGCCATGAATTTGCCTTTTCAGCCAGTACTGGTGGGGGCAGTCCCCACAGCTCCCCTGCCCTCACCTGGTGGGGAGCACGCTGGCCGCGACCCAGTGCGGTGGTGCAGGGCTGGGCTGGAGCATTGGTCCTTTCCCAGCATGTATGTTGGGAAGGGGCATGGGCCAGTGGAGACCATTTCCCGGGTTTGTGAGGTTCTTGCTCTCGCTTTCTGAGCACCGGTTGTTTCCAGGGCAGCTGGCTGGACAGTTCATTCCTGATAGCATCAGTCTTCATGGCTGCCCTGTTTCCCATCTTATCAACGAAGGAACTGAGACTTGGGGAGGGAGCTTGAATAGCTGGCCTCAGGACAGAGCTGGGGCTTGAACCTGCATCTCGTAGCTACCTGTCTGCTTTCTCCTGGGCTCTGCTACCCCAGCATCCTCATCCCCTGTCTCTCAAGAATGGGCAGAGCCCAGCAGAGGCTACTGAGAGCATCAGTTAGATGTCCCTGGGGTGCCTGTTAGAAGGCAGATTCCCAGGCCCGCCCTGAATCTACACCCAGGGCATCCGGATGCCTGTGAAGATCTGGAAGCTGCCCTCCAGCACACCTGGGCATCTGAAGGACGGGCTCCCTGATCATGTGGGCTCCCGCAGGGCGGGCAGGCGGGAGGAGGTCCCCAGCCTGCGCCTGAAATCGGCTCCGTCCAGACTCGGCGTCTGAGGCCATAAGGGTCTGGGGACCGTGGCTGAGGCCCGCACCTGGGGCAGGGAGTGCAGGCAGCCGGAGGCCAGAGGGAAGACCACGCTTCCCCGCAGTGGCATGTCCTTTGTGGGGGCTGTCCTAGCAGCTCAGTTCCCAAGCCATGGGCTCCCGCCGGGTCCTGGGGCCCCTGATTGGCTGACTCGCTGTCAGCGTGTCAGGCAGGACACAACTGAGCAGGGGTTTCTGCCCGGCTCTAAGAATCAGCCCTGACACTGTGGTCAGTGTCATCCCAGGAAGCTGAGCTCTGCTGGACCTGGCTGCTGTGTGGGGGCCTGCGTGCAGCCTCAGACATCCTGGGAGCTCTGTGGGAAGATAAGGAGCTCACAAGCCCAAATCTCAAAAGTGAGGACTCGGCCTTCCCGAGAGCCCTGGGTGGTTGGATGAGCGATGGGTTGCCCGTCCCTTTGGAACGGGCAGCTTTCTGGTGCACACTGTGTCTCCTCCCTCGGCAGGTCGGGGCAGAGGTCCCAGGAAGAGGAGGACTCACCCAGCTCTGGGCCTGCGCGCTGTCGTTTCCCTGGGCCCAGTGTCACTGGGACTTAGAGGAGTCATGCAGACCCAATAGAACAGGCTGGGGTGGGGAACCTGGGCTTCTGCCCACTGTGCACCCTCGCCCTGCGTGTGCTGTGTCCACAGGGGCAGAGGCCGCTGCTCCCAGCCCACCCTGTAGCCGTACTGCTGGTACGAAGTGGAGCCCATGCCCGCCACAGTAAAGGCCTGACATGGTCAGAGCGGGAGCCGGGGCAAAGCTGGGGCTGCTGGCATTGACTGGGTCTGGGGACGCCAAGCTCCGGGGCCCTCTTCACCTTGGTGGGTGGGCTCTGGGTGCTGGCCTGGGTCCTCACGAGGGAGCCTCCCACATGGCGCAGCTCTCGTGGGGCCTTCCCTGAGCCGTCTCCATCATTACCTCATCCCCCGCCCCGGGTCCTAACCAGCTGCCCTCTGTGTCCACAGGAGCGGGACGGCATGCGGGCCATCCTGGGGTCCTACGACAGCGAGCTGACCTCGGCCGAGTACTCGCCCCAGCTGACACGGCGCATGCGGGAGGCGGAGGATATGGTGCAGAAGGTGCACAGCCACAGCGCCGAGATGGAGGTGCGGGGCCACGGGCGTGGGGCTCACGTTGCCGGGTGGCCTTCCCCTTGGTGGGCCTTCTCCCTGGTGGGCCTTGGCAGAGCCGGTGGGGGTTGGAGGTCTGGTCCCTGTTTTTTTAGTTGCCGGCCGGCAGGCGTCCATCGGGGAGGGTGTCCACGGGCTGCTTCCTCTGCACGTGGATCCATGTTAATTCTCATGATGGCACCTGCAGCGTCCTCAGCTGTCAGAGTGTCCCAGGTGGCCCCAGCCTGCAGGCAGATGACACACAGACAGTGCCCCTTTGACGGGTTGGGACCCCTCATGATGCCTGTCAAAGGGGCACTCAAGGTCCTTCCCCCGTGAGGGGCATCTGCCGAGGAGACCTGGTCTCCAGGTATTCAGAGTTGTTGCCAGGGCTCTTGTCCCCGCTGCTGGGGAGGCTCTGCTGGGGCCTGACAGGCAGGGCATGAGGCCCAGGGCTGCCCAGCTCGCTGTGGAACTGGGAGAGGGGTTCCTCCTTCCTGCAGCCTGCATCCCTCTCCTGGCTCCCAGGTCCTCCCAAGAGAGGTGGCCTCAGCCTTGGCTTCTGCCTTTTCCCTGCCCCGTGGGCCACCGTGACACTCTGTTCCCTTGTCTAGCTCTGAACAACTCTCACCTGTGCAGTGGGAGGAAGGAGCTGGGGATCGTAGGGCCTGGGCGGAGACCACGTCCACACTCCCTGTCTACACTCCCCAGGCCAGGGGCTCCCAGCACGCCATTCCCAGCCTAGAGTTTGAAGGGCCCGTGTTCTCCTCTCGAGGTTTGCACCACTTCTCCTTGGGCACAGCACAGCCCCACCTGGGCATGGTGGGATACGTGCCAGGGTCTTCTGGCCTCATTGGCACACGCCGCCGGATGCCTTGCTGTTCAGCTCTGCGTGGCCCTTTCCCTGACTACGCAGTCTCACTGTCACCATATCCTGCGGAGTGCGTGCTGTTGTGACCTGAATTTGCTCACGAGAAAACCCAGGCCTGGGGCAGTCAAAGGACATGCCCAGGTCACCGAGCTGGTGTGTGACACCGCCAGGCCATGTCTTGGAGGGCCTGGGCCTGCAGTGTCTGCGGGCACAGCCGAGCTCTGTGAGCTCGTTGGTCTCAGGGCTCATGGTGTCTGGGATGGGCCTTGGTGGTGGAGGCTGCGGTGAGATGGAGATGCAGATGAGGGCATCGGTGTGGCCTGTCGCCCTGTCATAGGCTGCTGTGTCCGTTCCTCCTTCATCCAGTGACCAGCTGTAAGATGACCTGGGTCCACCAGTGGAGAGCCAGGCTCACAGGTGTGACCACAGCCACCTTCCGGCCAGGCTGCCGAGCACACACAGCAGGCCGGGCCCTGTGTCAGGGAATGTCCGACAGAGCCTCTGGCCCCTGGAGCTGAGCTGCTGGGCAGGGGAGACATTTAATGAACAAACATAATTCACGTAGGATGTTAGGAGGAGCTGAGTTTCTGGAGAAAGGATTGTAATGGAGGGTCTCAGGGAGCCGCGCTGCATGGCCGTCCCGGCGGCTGATCAGGGAAGATGGGAGGAGGAGGTCGTCAAACTGCATCTAGAAGGTTGCTTGGCAGATGGTTCAGTGGTTTAGAGGGGGCACGGGCACAGAGGCTCAGGCACTGGGGTTGGCGTGTAGCGAGAATGACAGGTCCAGGCCTGGGGCCTACATGCACTCCCTACCCCTTGCTCACATGTAGGCCACACCAGAGGGCCCTGGGGCTATGCTGTGTCCCCACCTATGGGGTGAGCCCTCACCACCACACATGGCGAGAGCGAACCGTGGGTCTGGGACCACCCTTAGGCACTGGTACTGCCCCCTGGTGTGTTCTTCTCATGCCCAGCCCCCTCTGTCCATCCTCCTCCTTCCCGCTTGTGGCTTTCCTTTCTGTGTCCAGCCACCCCGTGCGTGCAGGGCCTGCTGCTGAGGGCCGCACACAGACCTTCGGTCCTCTCAGGAAAGGCTAGCTCCGGCTACACCTGGGAGCTGTCATAACCCTAAGCGCGTTAGTAGCAATTTGATTCCAACACCCTTGGCTCCCTGTGAAGTATTAATGAAGAGAGATTTGTGGGGAGGGTCTCTGACCCCTCCTGCCATCCCTGGCGTTTTTCACGTTGAGCGATTTCTCCAGCCTGTGTTTGCCCTCTGCACTGTGATTGGCTCATCACAGGCCTGGGGTGGGCACATCCAGTGTCCTGGTTCTGATGTCTGGTGTTTTGTGTGATGAGACGATCAGGGCTGTCAGGGACCTCAGGACTCATTGACCAGATGCTGGCACTGTTTGGGCACCGTGCTTGCCCCCTTGCCGGGCAGCTTGGAGCCTCGGCCCTCACCCTGCTAGTGGGATGTACGTTGGGGACTCTGCCCCTCCCTTCCCATGGTGGGGCAGGTTACTCCCCTTCCTCTCAGTCTCTCCTGGGGTTTCAGGAGAATTAGGCACGTGGAGGAGTTGGGTCCAGCAGACCGGAGCAGGGTTGGACTCTACCAGCACTGACTAGTCCTCACTGCAGGAGTTCACGTGGCTGGTCCTCCCCTGAGCCCTCACAGCCCCCTCTGCCCATCCCCCTGAGTGCCTCCAGAAGCACGCCGGCACCTGCAGACTCCCCCCATGACCCCACCGCACTGGCCCGTGTCTGTGTTGATGCAGATAACCATGGTCTCGGCTGCTGGCACAGATCCCAGAGAGGTCTTCCGGGCCTGTGGCTGCTCCCTGAGCCTGTGCAGGTGCCACTGCTCTCTGGGGTCTGTGGAGCAGCCACCACCACATCCTGCATGACAGCGTGACCTGATGCCTTGCCTCATCAGAGAGGGCACCGCCACGTCAGCCCTCTCCTCCCAGGAGCCTGGGAGAGGCGTCCTCGCCCTTCCGCCGCAGCGGGACCAGGTCACCTGTGGAGCCTCTGCCCTGCCTTTCTCTGAAGCGACAGTCGGGCGGGAGGCTGGGGGTGCCGGCAGCTCCTGGGCTGGGTTCCTGCCTTGGGGGAGCATCTGCTGGGGGCCCCCCAGCTCTTGGCCCTCCCCATGGAGGTGGTACAAGTTTGGGAGAACGTGGCCCCAACTCTGGGAACTAAGCATGTTTGCAAGGTGAAGGTGGGGGCCCAGCAGGAGCGCCATGCTCCAGGGAAGGCTGGGGCGCGGCTGCACATGAAGTGTGGCAACGGTGGCTGCGCCCTTTGTGCACAGGGAGCCCCTGGGGCAGGGACGCCAGCCCAAGCCAGGGATGTGCCCGTGGAGGGCCAAGGGGCTGCTCTGGAGACCCTGTCCATGCCGCCTGTCTCTGGCTGTTGGTTTCTGTGAGGGGCCTGTCTCCTGTTCTCCCCACGGTCAGGGGTTGGGGGTCCACCATCCCCCCAACCGGGGAGAGCTCCTGACCCCGCGTGGCTCAGGTCCTCCCCCGCAGCCCCCCACCTCCCGCTCTCCCTGCTGCCTCCACCTGGTTTTTCTTTTTGTTTCCCGTCTCCTTTTCCCTTCTTGGTTTTCTTTGTGTCCTCTGCATGTCTGTCTGATAGTTCCTGTCTCCATCTTTCCCTCTCCCTTGGCCTCTGTTCACCTCTCTGTCCCCTGACACGTTCCTATGTCCTCTGACTTCGGGCCCCGCAAGCCTTCCCTGGAAGCTTGCCCAGCACTGGGCCTGCCCCTGGGGAAGGCGCCTCTCGGGGCAGGTGAGGATCTGCCACCTGACGGCCAGGTGGGCGTAGGGTAGTCGCTGGCGGGAGGACGCGGCATCGATCCAAGCGTGGTTCCCTTCCACCCACCTGTTAGCTAAGCCGGACACACCAGTCCATCCCCGTCTGCTCAGCCGGACACACCAGTCCGTCCCCGTCTGCACCGCCGGGCACACCAGTCCGTCCCCGTCTGCTCAGCCGGACACACCAGTCCGTCCCCGTCTGCTCAGCCGGGCACACCAGTCCGTCCCCGTCTGCTCAGCCGGGCACACCAGTCCGTTCTCATCTGAACCATGTTTTCATTCCAGCAGAGACTTTGCAGGAAAACAGAGTGTTGAGCTGGGAGAACCCCAGACCCGTCTGGTGAAGTTTTGCCATCTTGCATGGTGTTATTTATCCATTTAATAAAGTGGCTGCAGGAGCTGGTAGCGTGTGTCAGGAGTCCTCTGTGGACGGAGCTATAAATACGCAGTGCGCGCCACCTTGATTCAACACATCGGCCTGATTTGTGTTTCCGATTTATTTAATTAAAACGGATTACTGCACTGCTGGCCGTGTGGAGGGTGTGGAGAATCCCCGTTTCAGGTTGCAGTGACTCTGAAGTGGATCCTGACAGTTTAGGTGGAAGTGGCCGTCATGGTGTTTCCGGCTTCCCTTCCTCCCTGTGGCCTCCCAGAGGTTCGGGCAGCTCTGCAGTGCTGTCACTTGGCTGCCACGGGTGGTCTGGCTCCAGGAGGGCCGCGGAGAGCCTGGTCTTCAGGGCCTCAGGCTGTTCACCAGGCCCGATATCTGTGAGTGTATTGATGATTGATGATCTGTTTCCCACACCGAAAGAACGTGAGATGACTGTACTGTACAAAGCAGAGATAGAGCCAAAAAAAAAAAAAAAAAACCGAAAGTTAAAAATCACACAGTGTACTTAAGAAGAGTGGACCAAGGGGTTTATGGAAATCGCCCTGGAGTCTGGGCTGTGGGAGCCTCTGCTGTGTGGCCGCAGGTCCTTAGTGGGAATCGTGAGGTGCTGGCTCCATTCCCAGAACGGGGCGTCTGTGCAGTACAGAACCGTGCTGATCCGGGCTCCCCGTGACATGCCGGTGCCACCCCAGACAGCACACACTTTGAGCACCGCTGCCCTGCACAGGAGCCGACCTTGCTGTGCGTGAGGAATAAGCCCAGGGCAGGCTCTGTCCTCTCCACCATGGGAGGACCTGCTGCCACCCTCAGAGCATCCCCCAGGGCGGGCGTCCACCCCATAGCCTGGCCCCTGACGGTGCGCTGCCTGCCTCTCGTGCTCTGTGGCCAGCGCTGGGCTCACAGCCGTCCTCAGGCC